TTCAAAAAGTGTAGTTTTATTGACAGATAATGTTCACCAAGTTTGGTTTCTTTAGCTTGATGTACGTGGAAGATAAAAAAGAAAAACAATTTTTTTTTGTAATTTTAGGAGGGGCGTAACTTTTCAGGGGATGGTTTTTTCAAAAAATTTTATACCAAAGACCCCTATTAATTTTCATCGGAGAATCGCCCTTTGAATTTTTTCGGTGTTATTTAGATACACCCTGTATATTTTGCAAAAACTGTAATTTTGCAACTAATTTGTTAAACAAATAATTTAGCGTATACTCTACAGTTGGTAACTTTTTATGTTATTTCTGACCACTTCACAAAGCGAAATATAAAAAGTTTTCTCTTCCCGTAATTTTCGCGAAGTCAAAATCTATCTTGACTCCACTAAATGTCAAGCAAATAGCTATTTATGTATCTAGTGCTGAATTTCTACGATCATAGTTTATTTGAGGCAAATATTAAAACTGTACTGATCTTTTTAACTGATAATATTATGGGAAGTAAGATATGACATATAGTTTGTAGTTTACATCTCACCCACATTGCTAACATTAAATAAATATAACACTGTCAATGAAGTCGGTTTCGTCAGTATCTGTTGTCATTTGTGTGCACTCTAAAACGTCTAAACAGTAATAAACCAAATAAAGCTGTCACTTTTGACACAAGTGAGTAATATCAATCCAATTTTAGATTACCAAAAGTGATCTAAATGTGTGGAACCACCTGTCGTTGTGGAGAGCCATTCTGGCGTTCATCGCATGGATCATGGTTGGCCTAGGACAGCCACACGACACGCTGTACGTCCATTTGAAGAACATGGAAACATATCTGCCAGACAAATGATGGTTGTTTAGTTATATTTTACCTTGGTTGACTTGATAGTTTCTATTGTGATATCTATAATAATTCTATGAAGACTGTTACACTTCTAACACAACAAAAAAAAAAGAAATACATTTATTTAATTCTTACGTTAGTTTTTCTTGTCAAACACAGAGAAAAATAAGTTCAGGGGTAACAAATTGGCATTAAATTTTCATCAACATTTTTCCATATCTAGTTAGAAACATTTTTCGCCATGTAGTGACTTATCAGTATGAAATTTTGGCAGTAAAATTGCTAGATCCAGCCCTGGTGAAAATAAGACACATTGAGTTTATATTTTTTAATAATAAATAAAATACAACTACAGCTACAGTTGCCTCTCTGACAGGAGAGTTTCATTCCCACTAGGAGTATCGTTCGGCTCGTACTCCAGACCTGACTCCAATTTTAAGAATAGTACTATGCCGAAAATTATACCTATGACTTGTATCAGGCAAAAACCTAATGACACTGCACATATCAGCCACAGGAACCATTTTAATTGGGATGCAACTGGTTCGCTACACCCCTGAAACACAAAAAAATAACAATGCTAAATATTCCATTCAATATGCAAAAATTTACAGGATGATTGATTTGAATTTCAAGAATTAACTTATTACAAATCTAAATAGCAACTCACTTCTAAAAAAATGTTGGATGGATGGTCTCTGATTCCACACTCATACAGTATGGACTTACAACAAGAATCAGGTACTTTGTTTAAGACTGCTGTATTTTGCAGCCAGTTACTGTACTTCCAATCTTGGTAACTTTCAGCACCACAGCATGCCAACTAAATAAAAAAAATTGAAAGAGATGTACTATGAACTAAAATTGAAAGATCAAAATTGTGTATTATTATACATGTTGTCAAGGTACAACACTGTACTGGCGTCCTCTAACATTAAACAAAAAACTAAGTATTTGAGTTTCTCATCATTAATACTCCCAGTTTCTCGAATTTCATCAAATTGCCCATGTTATTGAACAAAAATGTAAACAAAATACCAATCAATAATTTTATTTTGGACGCCCTGTATCACAAGAATCAAGCCGTTGCAGACCCATGTTCATATGAACTTTTTATCTTAAAATTAGTCAAAGAACCACCCTTTAAAGTTTGTATAAGTACTTAATAAACATCCTGTATGACGCGTTTTAAAACTATAATGCATGGCAACGGAATAAATAACTATTGTTTCGTCGTATATGAATAAATAACAATTAAAAAAATGAAAGTAGGGACTTTACCTACCCTTACTGTTAAATTATTTATTTATCTACTCTTGCGGTTAAAATGTTAAGTGATCTGTTGATTTGAGTTGTTAAAGCATTTGCCATGGAAAAATTTTTAATTTTTTAACAGTTCTGTCATTTTTGACTTTTCTATATAACTATTGAGACAGTCGTGGCTACAAAACTTTCAAAGGTAGTACTAAAAATGCCTTACCCTCTGTTGTATGACATCGATAGATTCTGTCTTTCCATCCATCTGTTTGTAAGTCGTGAGAAGGGTGGAATTGAACCTCAGATTCATTTCCTCGTCGATGTTTTCTTGATAAATATACGAAAGCACTCCTACAAGAGCTTCCATAAGGAAAATTAGCACTAAGAACAAAGTATACTGAAACAAGAACAAAATATTTCTGAAATGCGGTAAAAATAATATTTTTTTTTAAGTTGTAACATTTCTAACAAAAATATGGCATTAATAAACGATTTACTAATCATAAGCAGCGTCGTGAACTGTACAGGGTGTTTGTTTCATTTGAAAAATGTCTGAAGCATTTGATTTAAATCTTATACGTGACATTTTCTCTCAGATTTTCCTGAGATTCACTATCGAAATAAATGTCGCCAGTTTCTGGTATTTTCATTATTTTTTTTATAATGGTTACTTACACAAAATAGTAGTTTCGTCCTATGTTTTGGTATGGCGCAGCAGCCCAAGATAGCCACTAGTATGACTAGACAACCCGTGGAAATGAACAAGAAAATGGTGGAAGAGTACGCCGTGCTGTCAAGCACGTTCATGAAGTGGAAAGTTCTCAGGAAAGCCCACACTCCAATCACACATAGCGCCAAGCCAGTTACCTGAAAAACAAGACTATAATGGGGAAAATCGTAGTAATGATAAGATTTAAAATAATTAAATGATCCAAAAAAATATATAATTTTATTGGGATACCGTTTTTTTCGTCCTTTTCATTTCAATATGAATGTCTGCTCATATGGATTGCTTGTTTGCTTAAAAAATAATTATTTAACCATCAAAAGTACTAAATGAGTGTTATTATATTATATTAAATTATTGAGTATATTTTCACTTAATAGTATATTGGGCGTTTTGACAATTTTACTCGGTTATAACTATATTTGAACTAAAACTGATTAATTATACTCTAATATAACAACTATTATAAAGTAACAGCAACTCAGATTTGAATAAAATTCCTCAATTCTGCCTAATACTTTCACTCATAAAATTGCTATTGTATGATGTTAACAAAGTGTAATTTGATCCATTTTTTACAGCGTATAACATTAGGAGGAATACTTTAATTAAATAGTCCTTGCAAAAACTTTGTTATTAAGGATCAGTTTTATTAAGGCTCGATTGCATACACTTATTTCACTTTATGAATTAAAAGGACGTTATCTGTGCCCTTGCCTTATAACTAAAAATAATCTGGTCTGAAGTAGTAATAGATTTTCTGTAAAGAATAAAAAAAGAAACATGTAATAACAGACGCAGAAATAATTGCAAAAAACGTATCTTACAGGACGAAAACTTTCACCAGCGCCTTCGCCATTTTCTACAAAAATTAATTAAATGCAACATAATTGAACATACAAAATCCTTCGAAAAACATTTGTCCTTTGATCTCCACTAATTTATTTTTGATATCCAGCCATTGACCTTAGATGATTAACCTGTAACTTTTGACCTCTGGTCATTGCCTTTGGTCCTCTATCATTGACGTTTGACTGTTGGTCATTGACCTTTGAATTGCACTTTTGACATTTTTTCACCTTTTAAAGTATGTATGTGTGATGTATAGATAGGTATGCGTTCTGAAGCTATTTTGACATAATTTATTGTATTCAAAAGCCCTTTGATGCACTTCCATGCCTTGTGAAGCCGTTTCAACGAAATGACATATTTTACAGTTAAGTATAGTAGTATATTTTGAAAGAATTTTAATAAGTATTTTAAACTTGTTTTGATGCATGGTTAAATTCTTAAAAATACATGGAAATAAATCAAAATCAGTCGAAATTGTATCTCGAATCAAACCGAAAATATGTTCAGTCTTTAAATTCGTCTAAATACCTTGTAAACCTCAAAATACTTCGGAATGCGAATTATACATTCGAAATATCTTAAAAGCTTCAAAATTACTATTACTTCGAAATCGTTTAACAAATTTTCAATAACTACTGGGTAATTATATTTTTCAATCATTGATCTTTGACCTTCGATCATTGACCTTTTGCCATTTTCTTTTGATCTCCGATGACGACCGCTAGCCTTTGGCTTTCAGTTGTTGCCTCTTGGCATTCCACGCCTTTGGTCTGTGATTTTTGACCTTCATGCATTCTGAAGCTACTTTGACGCATTTTGTTGTATCTCAAAGCTGTTTCGATCCATTTGTATGTTTTTTGAAGCTTTTTGATGTGCTTTGACAGTTTTAAGAAATTTCAAAATACCTAAATAAGTATATCAAATTGCCTCTAAAAGATCAAAATTCTTCCAAATACATGGACAAACCTTTAAACAAAACAAAAAACTGAATATTGCATCGAAAAAACTTCAGAACTTTAAAAACTTCTTAATATTTTTGAGGTACTCCGAATAAGTACCTCTCCAAAAAATATTTGACCTTTGGTCTTGGCCTTTAGACTGTATCCCGTCGTTGACCTTTGGTCATTGATGTTTAATTGGCCTCTGACGTTTGGTTTCCAGTTGTTGCCCTCTGGCATTTCGCCCGTGACTCAATTTGTTTAAAGCCATTCTAATCCATCTTAATGCTGTCTAATGCCGTTTAGACGTATATCCTTTGACAAAATCTGAAACATTCTGAGGCTGATAAAGTTTTATGTTTTGAAGCCGTTTTGATGTATCGTACCACTTATTGTAACTTCTTGTGAGACTTATCTGTACCGTTACAGTTAGGTATGTTACATAAACAACAATATCGCCCTTAATACCTAAGTACTTACCAAAAATACAAACTGGAACACATACAGTACAGCTTTGATAGCGCTAACTCCGCAACATTTCCCAGATCCCATTTTTGACGGTTTCGTACACCGCAAAAGCCCGCTATTTTATTTTTCGCTCGACATCTGGAAAATAAACAAATAAGACTCGCATCAGATCGAAAATGTATTTAAAAATCTATTCATAGATGTTACCTAATCATAACAACATATACGGACGGGATAGCATATTTATTTACATATTTTTGCGGACTGGTAGGTGGAGAATATGAGCGCGGATAGAATTCGTCCCCGGTGATTCATCAATTCGAAAAACAATCTCCGATTTACATACACGTTGCAGAAAGACAGATGTCGCGCGTTTGATCATTCTGTCTTTTTTTATTGAATGAAAACAAAATATGTTTTTGGAACACATCTTTTTTATTTAGATGCGGTGCTTACATCGTCAGAGCAGTGAGGTACGAGGGTTGTATGAAAAATTTGCAGTATTGGCGTAATACATATTTCTCTTTGGTAACAACTTTTCATAATTATAGTAGATACAAATTTTTGTAGAAAACTCTTTAGAATCTTTAAATATTTCAGCAAATTATCTTGTGTGCTCAAACTAAAAATATGATTTGCGATTTTGACGCCCCCATCATTTTTAAATTTGTAGAAATTGTTCCTACTTTATCTATTACTTTTCTGAAAGTGGTGTTGTGGAATTAAGTGAAGTTAAGATCACAGCATCTAGAGGGTGTCCTTATCGACAACTTTAGCTGTAAAAACGTATTAAGTAGAGTTAAATAATAATAATTGCTTACTTTGTTATATGCAAGGACCTACATGTCCTTTACATGACAACTACTTGAGAACGTTGCACAAGTACCTACATCAAAATATTAACATTATATCCCAAATAGCAGTCCATCAGGATATTCCGTTATTCGTGCCGCATATCCCAGGACGTTAACCGTTTGTCTTCGGGACGTATCGTTTCGTATACTTACCTACTTGTATTATTAGTTTGGTGGTGTATATACTCATTGAGATATTTATTCCTGGAACATCCTTAAGATGGTAGCTACAATTTATTATCTTCTATCTATATATCGTTTACTGCATATGCGTCATTCTGTGCAGTACTGGTAGTGACGAACACAAGATAGTCCAATCAATCTATCACAGTCTAATGTTAAATTTACAAAAAATACCAAAACCAAAATATGACGTTTACAACGGCCTCGAAAACATAATTACCTTTGAAAAATGTAATTTCCCTTTAGTCTAAAATTCTTTCACCTTTTGTTAACAATTATTTAATAATTGTTTATGAAATAAAGTAGTACAACGTTTTATGGTAATTATATCTTTTTATTATAAAAGTATTACAAATAATAACAATATTTTCTATCACGCGCGCTCGCTATGGGACCTATAGCGTTCCAAATGTTCACTTTGGGATTATCTAGTCGAGCTACCCCAGATTAAGTACAAAAGGATTTTTGTACGTGGTCCAGAAATCGAGATAATGAAGATTTTGAAAATAAGAGCGCTTTGCCGAGTAGCGGTACCCCCACTCTGCCGTCCGTTCCAGTTAGCTCGCGCCGCGCTTGAATGCTTCGGTTTGACGCACAATTAAAAATGCAGAAGTGGCTAAAATGAACCACAGTATTTTTTTTTATTGAAAATATGTCTTCAGCTTCAATCTCTGTAAGAATGGACACTGCAGCACTTAAATAGCGGTCTGTAGAATTTTTTGAAAAAAAAATCATCTAGACTAGAACAAGGGTCGGCAAGTAATTTTAGATGGGGTCCGGATACGTTTGAAAATTTTTAACGAGGTCCAGAAAAAAAATTCATATTTCTTACANTCCGGACCGCGGAAGGTAAAATACTGGACCGCCAAAAATTGTTTGAAAGTATAAATTACTCAAATAAATTATTTAAAAAATGTTTTTTACGTTTAAGTGCCAATCTTATCATTTTTTCTAGTATTTTACAATTGTGTGAGTGTTTCGAGTTCTTAATTAGTAAGCAGATTAAATTTGAGTCCAAATTAAAATAAAAAATAAGAAATGTGAATTTTTTTTCTGGACCTCGTTAAAAATTTTCAAAAGTATCCGGACCCCACCTAAAATTACTTGCCGACCCCTGCTCTAGAAGGTCGTAGAGCAACGTTTTTTTTTTAAATTCGCGTAAAATGCCAGCAATCGTAATAGACCTTATCGAGAAATAAAAATCGAAAGACATTCAAAAACGGACCCAAAAAATTTTTACTTTTTTCAGTCATTTTTGGACACTTGAAATGAATATAATCACTCTTTTTTACCATGAAAGTACAACTCTTAAGGAAAAATGAGCCCTGATTCGTTTCTCTACGACTATTCGTCGAGCAAAAAGCGCCGATTTTCAAGATGACTTTTTTCGAAAAATCGATATAACTCGAAAATTTTTAATATTTTTTAATTTAAAAAAAGCATTTGTTTTGCTTGCCGAAGACTACATTTATAGCAAGTAATAATTTTCAAAATCTTAATTTGCTAGAGATACCTACAGCAAAAGCAAAAAGTCGATTTTTGACGGTTTTTTCAATATATCTCAAAAAGTAATATAGCAATCGATATACTTAAAAATATGAATCATAGGTTTTTTTAATAGCTACAACTTCCTCATTTAACTTTTTTCGATTGGACTTCAAATTTTTTTTTATTAGCGAAAAACCGTTTTTTAAGAATTTTTTAGGTTAACTTCGCCGTTTATGCGCCACAGGAAAAAACACTATCTTTCTTGGAATTTTTTTTCCTGTCACCATATTTTTTGTTTCCAGGTGGTATTTTTTGTAAGCTCTTGATTATTGATTGATTGGACTAATAGTGTCACCATCTAGTTTTATTTTTGGTTTTATGACGCCACTATATGCCATTCTTACTTCTAGTGAGTGATTTTAGGTAATATTTTAAAATTAATGTTTGCTTTTTTTTAGGTTTTGAATAAGTTAATAAAAACGTTATCGCCACATGGTGCGCACCTGTTGCGTCCAAAAAAAACTTCTGAACCCAAAATGGGCAGAATCGAAGTAAAAGTGTCGAAATCCAATGAGATCCCCTTAAGGAAGTTCTCTTTGGGTTTAGTTTTTACCTAATATGTATCTTGACTCCAAATTTTGCCATATATCTGCGATTCCCTGATTTTCGGAAAACACGTCGTGTGCGAAATTGTCATTGATATTGTTTATTTGAATCCGTTGTATTATATTGTTTCTATTTTACATATTATTAAAAACGTTCCATAAAAAATTCTGGTGTTTTCTCGTTTTCTTTAAATTAAGTGACCCATTGAGTGGAGTGTAATACTTGTACGAACAACCTATGGATTAAACGCTACGTGAGCAAAAGAACAGTAAGTGCCTCAAATTCATTATCAGAATATATATTTCTAAGTCCCCAACATATTAATTAAAGTGTATCAATATGTATCTCTAAAGTAGGCTCTGAATAAATTTGACCCCCACACAAAGTTACAGCCTGTATACTATTTACAATGTAATCAATCAAAACCATGCTTGATTTATAAAAGTTTACTTACCTTTTGAATTAAACAATAAAAAAATAAAAATCACAAATTTATAAGACATATATTTATAAAGTATATATAGTAGTAATAAAATATACATTTTTTCAACAGAATGTACAGCCATGGCTTATGGGTTAAGCTACTTACACTTATATGCACTATTTTATACTCCTCACATGCAGACTTAAAGTTTAAAGTGTATAATATGTATATAAAATTCAAATAAGAATCGTCTGTACAAATCACAACGTTGAACCATCGTGAACGATTTAGGGCGTACAATATAAACTTTAAAACAACAATAATATAACAATAATTGGTATAAAGATCACAAATATTTCCATATGACTTCCTATCCTAACAAAAAGGCAATTAAATAAATTATTACTTAATATAAAAATGATTAATTGGTAGTGTGTAAAAGTCTATGAATTTCATGATTTGTATTAAAAATAAAATTGGTACAGGGTGTCCACCATTTTCGTACGAAAGTTAAACATTAAGAACCCGGTAGGTCTCTACACGGCTTTTTTTTTTTGATGCACCTTCAAATTTATTTCATTGTTTTGTTTTTCGTATTAACATCCTCTTAAATTCAAACAGGATGGCGGAATCAAGTGGGACTATTTTTTTATGGGTAGAGCTCTGAACTGTCATCGTTTGTCACCTATTGGTTTCGCATCGAGTCGAACGTAAGGCCTAGGGTGACCCAAATAAAAAACGAATATTTTTTTTTGTGTCTTGTGAAAATATGTTAGTTTATCATGTTTTAAGAGCCCCCTCAAAAAATCAGCACAAAAAATATTTTTTTACAGGTCGCTCAAGTTTTTTAAAAATATCCAAAATCGTCAAAAGTTCAATTTTTTAAAAAAATTTTTTTGTTATTTTATTAGGTCACAGAAATAAATCACGACACTTAAATTTTAAAAAATTAAAAAATTATGAACATTTGATACAGTGCGGTAGTAAATTTTGCCTCGAGAAATTTTTTAAATGTCTCCTGAATTATTTCTATTCTTTTGTTTATCAAATTCAATAAAAAAAAATTATTAGTTCGTTGATATTTATTTTTAGAGGTTGCTCGAAAATATTTTAGGTACACTACTTTGAAAGTTAAAATAATTATGAGTGACCTTTAGAAATTAAAATATCGATTTGAAATTTTCAGAATCGAGATTTTTTTCAACCTAGAAAATGATAAAATAACGAAAAAAAATTTTTAAAAATATTCAATTTTTGACAATTTTGAAATATCTTGAGCGACTTCTAAAAAAATTCTTTTTGAGCTGATTTTTTGAGGCTCTTAAAACATGATAAATTAACAAATTTTCACAAGACATGAAAAAAATATTCATTATTCGTTTTTTTTTGGGCCACCCTAGTAAGGCCTGCTATGATTTTTTAGATGGGCACAATTTTCAGACAAACAAATTATATATACACAAAATCGTACCCAAAAAAAATTTTTTAGTGGTTATCCTAATTTTTAAAGGACAAAACTGTATGTATTTACTCCCAAATTTTTGATGTGAAATAATCTGTAACATTCAATAATGCATTTTTTTGTACCGAACTGCAATAAAACTATTTTTCCACTTGTTGCAATTTACATAAATTTTTACAAAATAGTCTTTTGCGCAATTCATGTTTAATACTGTATGTAGAAACTAATTATTTAATAGCAGTTAAAATAAAAGTAAAAAAAAGATAGAAATTGAATTTAAATAATTCTTCCAAAAAAAATATATATATAGAGTATAAAATTCTATACCTATATTTCTGTTATTTCTTTTTGAGGCACATAGATATGTACCATTCGATCGATTAACAAAAAAAGAAATAAAAACAATTGTTGCCAAAACATAACCTCAATTATTGCCAGTTCTTCTTCTTCCTCTATAGACAAACTCATTATAGTTATTATAAACATAACCTCAATCAATGTTTTATCTGTTTTTCTTCTTCTACAGAGCGTTTATTATATACACTTTGCTACAATAATTTTTTCAAAATTTATATTAATTGCAGGGAATGTTATGACATAAATTTTTTACTAAATTTCAAGATATATTCATTTGGCAATTCCTTTGACAATTATTAAAAAATTTTCCATAGTTATGTTCTAAAAAGCGCGAATTTCAAATATTAATTAAATAAATAAAATTATATAAAAGCTGAACCGTTAAAGCTACTTTTTCAACATTAAAGCTACTTATCTACGAAATGAAGAATTCATCTACCGCTAACCGGCTTCCCGAACGAAAATAACAGCCACCCTGCACCGACGCACTGAACCACCCCATTTCAACGTGACCAACAACTTAATCGAACTGCCCCAGTGTATCCTCCAGCTTACTAACAATGTTCTTGTAGAAATTTAGCTGCTCCTGAAGGAAGGTCTTCATGGTGAGCTTGAGGTCGGTGTCCCTCTCGTTCTGGAAATGGCTGAGTTCGGCAAACACGGTGTAAGTTAGGACGTCCGCGCGTCTCCGCACATCCGCCAGAGCTACCTGCTGAGTCGCTGTTCTCTCGCATTCCCTCTTCTTCTGCTCGGAGAGTTTTTGTAGGTTCAGTATGTCGGGTAGGTTGTTCGTGATGCCTTTGTATATGTAGAGTTTGTCGTAGAGGGGCTGCCAATCAATTTTGGCTTGTTCTTCATATAGCTTGCCGATCATAATGTAGGTGGAGCCGATGCTCTTAACATCTGAAGAAAAGACTCGTGTTCAGTGGGCATACCCGTGAGGGTTACAAAATATGGATACATTTGGATTAGGGTGACCCAAAAACAAAAAATTTTTTTTTTTCGTGTCTAGTGAAAATATGTTAGTTTGTCATGTTTTAAGAGCCCCCTCAAAAAATCAGTTAAAAAAAAATTTTTTTTAGAAGTCGTTCAAGATTTTTAAAAATTTCCAAAATCGTCTAAAATTGAATTTTTTTAAAATTTTTTTTCTCGTTAATTTACCATTTTCTAGGTTGAAAAAAATTTTGATTCTGAAAATTTCAAATCGATATTTTAATTTCTAAAGGTCACTCATAATTATTTTAACTTCCCTGTTTTCAAACAACCTTTAAAAAATAAATATCAACGAACTAATAATTTTTCTTTATTGAATTTGATGAACAAAGGAATAGAAATAAATCACGACACTTAAATTTTAAAAAATTAAAAAAATTATAAATATTTGATACTCACAGTGCGGTAGTAAATTTTGCCTCGAGAAATTTTTTAAGTGTCCCGTGATTTATTTATATTCTTTTGTTCATCACATTCAATAAAAAAAATGATGTTTTTTATTTATTTTTAGAGGTTGCTCGAAAACATTTTAGGTACACTACTATTAAAGTTAAAATAATTATGAGTGACCCTTAGAAATTAAAATTTTTTCAACCTAGAAAATGATAAAGTAACGAGAAAAAATTACAAAAAAAATATTCTATTTTTGACGATTTTGGAAATTTTTAAATCTCGAGCGTCTAAAAATTTTTTTTTAGCTGATTTTTTGAGGGGGCTCTTAAAACATGATAAATTAACACAATTTTCCACTACTCAAACTAAAACTATTTTAACAAAAGAGACGAAAAAAATATTCATTTTTTTTGGGTCACCCTAGTCTGGATGCTCGAGAACTTTTAGAAAGTTCTTTTCGCAAACTTGTTGGCATATTGAGGATATTACTGTACCGAAAATTACTATATATTTCAAGACTTGGACCCACACTTACAAATTACATACAAATTAAGAGCAAAAAAAATTATGAAAAAAGTTAAATGAATGAGGTTATAGCTTGAATAAATGCTAATACTGGCAGCTGGTGAAAATTCAAGGTTCATATTTTGATACCGATAATATTTTTTAAAGTATGGTCTGTATGCTCACACATAACTTTCACGATAAAAAATTTTTTTGACAAGGTTGCAAAATACTTTCTTTACACAATCAACATTTTATTATTTTTCACAAAATTACTTTGTTTTGTAGTTATATCTACATTTAACCATTTGATTAAAAAACTCTATTTTTCAAACCTCATTCTTTAATTTTAAGAAAAATTAAAATTTAAAAAAAATAAAAACAGCTGCTTGTATCTTTCAGTTTCAGTCAGATTTTTAGGAGGCCTATTATCCCATATACACAAGAATTGAATTCGTTAAAAAAAGGAACTATAAAACAGTAACAAATCGTCTAAAGAAAACTCAAACTATAACGGAGATGAATGAAATAAATGGAAATAAGTATCTGTTTACTTTCAATCATGTTTTGTTAGATGGAGTCCATTTTAAGTTTTCAATCACAATCGTTCATTTCTGTATTTACTCATTCGAAAATTTAGAGCAGAAAAATGATTTCGTTTGTGATTTTACAGACATATCCGCACCAAACATGAAAAAATCAACAGGAAACGTTTATTTTTTTCTTGCAAATCGAGTTGAAACTTACCAACGGAAGCTTTTGAGTACATCCCCTGCTGATTATATTCAAACGCCGATCCCAACGCGAAGAAACTCTCCCCGATCCGCGTAAATTCCCTCTTATACATGTTGGCCGACTTCTTCTGCTGGTCTTGCGCCGTCTGCATGAGGTTCTTGATGCACTGATCCAACTTAGCTATGTAATTCATGCTTTCGTCTATCTTAGGGTCCACCACGGAGGACAGAACCTCTTTCTCTGGCGCCTCGACGCACATGCAGAAATTTGCCCCCACTAACTGGTCACGTTCCGCGTTCCTCTTGCCTTGTTTCCATTGTTTCTCATCCGTGCATGTTAAAAAGTGAATCCACACTTCGCAGGTCGATAAAACGGGGTGCCGGCACATGTAATTTATAAATTCTTGCAGCTGTGCCCTGCGGTGTTCGATGAAGTGCTCCTCGTACCTCCCCGAGACTTGTTTGTCGGGTAAAGGAGGTATTGCGATGATGTTGAATTTTTCCGTCAGTCTGTCATGTAACCAATCGAAGTGTTTGTATCTACGCGAGACTTCGACGTTTGAAAAAGATGGGGTTAGCTGGTATGCGATGAAGGATTTTAAACCTCCCATTTTTGAGGCTTTCTTCGGGGACGCGATTTGTACTGTGTAAGGGTTGGATAGGACCTCCCATCGGGCTAAGCTCTCTTCGCTGTCTCTGTAGATGTGGAATTTTTTGTTCGCTATTGGTAACTCTTTTCCGGTACCTACAACATTTTTAAGTTTAGAATCCCCTCAAGTTTTACGACAATATAACATAAATTAACTTATGTTATTAAATTACTAATACTTTAATATGGTGACGCCACATTGTAACTACCTCTTGTGTGTAATAATATAGTTAAAAACTAGGAACAAAAATATTAGATGGCAACTTATAATATCTTTATTACTCTTATTTATATAAAAATGTGTGAAATTTTTGTTTACACCAAGTCCTTTTAAGTGTATTATATTTATAAAAAATTTGGGACAATTCTACTTTTTCAATTTCACTTTGTGACTTTATTGTGGTTTACAAAGTTTTCATAGAATCATCATTTTTACAAAGTAACTTTTTATGCAAGGATGCTAAAATCTGTTACTTTATTACCTCGTGCATATAGTAACTATGTTGTTGGCAAAACTTAACTTAAATTCTAATAATAACACAAACATTATGGGAAAAAGTAAAATGAAAATGCTACAAGTAAATACCATCACAAAGTTGTCCCCATTTTACAATATTACAAATGTATCTGGCTCTAATTTTTGTTTTTTGTTATATCAGGAGATTACTTTTTGATTAAATGATAACATCAATGGTAAATATTGGCTTACCTACTATAAAGTATATACTGCACTAATATTCATTTATACTTGAACATAAAAATTTAGAAACTGTCTATTTCCATGTGATACTTGAACTGATAAAATTTATTATATTAACAGATAAATAGTCTTTCATGTATTAGTCATTCTATTTATATTGCACATAGTCTCTTATAGCACCTGTTCTTTTTATTTTTAATTATACATAATCTTTCGTTAAAGACTTTAGACTAGTTATGAATATAAAATATTTCTCTTACCTAAAATATATCCTTCTAAACCTGACTTAACATACGAAGAAAATATATTCAAACTTTTCTTTGTAATAGTTCCTTTACTGTCCATGGCTGCCATATTATTACTTGCTAATGAAACATTATCAGCCTGCACTTGCCCCTGTGAAAACTGATTCTGATTCACCTCGTTACTGTATATAGAGTCTCTCGGATGTTCTCGGTTATTGGCTATTTCTGAATAAGTATCTTCATCCCAGTCATCGTCCCAATCATCATCTTGATGAGGTTGGGTGTCACCCCAATCATTCGCTTGAGGAGGAAGCACGGGGGCAGGCATGTTAGGGGGGTTCGAGGTTGTCACACGTTCAACGTACGCTTCAGGGAACAGTCCAGATTGTCCCTTGGAGTTGAGGCCCTCCCACCAGCCCTCACCCACGTCTGTCCTTGTAACTGTCAGCGTTTCACCCGCGGAAATCGACATTTCCGCGGTGCCTGGCTCCCCTTGGAAGTCATAAAGAACACGAGCTTTAAATGTAGCCATTTCTGTGTTGGTTTACTGGGAAATGTCAGAAGCTGGCATTAAATTGTGGGTGTAGCAAAGGGTCGCTAGTTACAATTTGACAATTCGTTAACCTATATCGCAGACAATGAACTGGATGTTTTTTTGCTTTCGCTCTCTACGCGGCACTAGAACACGCCTCCCTCGGGGAATATTTTGCACAATAAGGTAATATTCTTTCAACACGACACTTCACTTTCATTTCAGTCATTAGTCACTTATGGTTCATGTTTACGTTACATATTTTTCAGCTGCTAATTCTTCTTACTGTATTCGTCACTACAAAGTGCAAATGTAAAAGATGAGATTGACGTAAATGACAAATGACAGCGACGTAGCAAATCTTTGAGATTGCCGATCCAGATGTGATCTGTTTGATCTGGTTCGGTGTCGCTTATAGTTTAACATATAATTTCTAGATGGCAGCGCATTGCAAGGGACTTTACGCGCTCCTTTGTTGGTGTGTAAATGTTTTGTATGATAAAGTAATATTTTATATGTTTTTTTGTTCTTAAAACATTCAAATAGAGAAAACTTATAAATTAGTTACAAATCTTTCCATCTTAATTAATGTCTGCATAACAAGTGTGAATGTTATCTATATTACGAAAGAAAACTGATACCCATAGTTTTAAAATGCAAATTTGTTTTATGTATGCAGCTGGACCTAATCGTTCTTATGATGAAATAAATACATAGAAAAATATCTAAATATGAAATAATTGTTTCTAAGTTTCGTAAGGAGAAAATATTTTGTTGTTAAAAAATGTAATCAAGTAATATTTTCTTTTCTTATCTTTTGAAAGTAAACGTACCTCCTACTTACCTTCTTTATTTGGTTGGTACCAACCACACATGTTTAATTCATGAGATGTATATAACTTTTATTACCTAAACGTAGTTAAAATGTATGTTTATAATAACCGTTTATTTAAATTTCCAGAATGTCTACATAATTTATAACATACAAAATATACTGGTCAATGAAAAAGTAACTGTAGATGATATAAAAGCCTATTAAGTTATTTCATTATGTTCTTTGACATAAAATGGAAAAACATAACTTTTTTATTATTATAATGTCTGTTTCATATACAAGGGGGTCGAAAAAGTTTTAAACTAAAAGACTTATTTAGTTAGGTTAGGTTAGTTTAGTCAAATACCAAAATATTACTGTTACAACGCAAATAATTTCAATATGCGGAATAATGTAACAATAAAAGGGAGTTTCCTAATCGTTTTTTGTATGTAAGTTTTAAGCGTTTTACTGGACTTGACCCAGTTATAACGCACATGTGTGCACTCTGTGGCGTGTCGACAATCTCGGAATCTCGGCTAAGCCGAAGAAAGGATGGGGAAACTTAATATTAATTAAGTGGTCGCCAAATATGGTCGCGAACAGTATAACGCAGTATGCGAGTTGAATATAAAGCTGTACGCGTGAGCGAAGAAAAGACGAACCAATTCTAAACCGTATTAATGAGATCCACCAGAACTGTATACGAGGGGTGTCAGGTAAATGGCCGTATTTAGCATTGTTTTTAAATTTATATTCAGAATGTGCACATCGCAATTAGCTGATGCGCAAAAAATCAAATTTTTTTTTCAACATCTCCCTCAAAATAATTAATTAAAACAGCGCGGGAAGACGCATGGAAGCCATGTTGTGACGTCATATCACACGATGTGGCTAACTCACATACTTGGCTGGATTCACATACGTCATATCGTCCTTTTTCGCACATAATGAGATGCTCACATATAACGATGTGATAACCACATTTGCACCAGAAGAGTACATTTTAAACCCATATCTGTAAATACCATTTTTCAAAAAGAAAAATGCACTTATCCCGTTCTTGCACTAGAGAGAGATATATAAATTTTCTTACCTATCTTCTATTTACTGTGTGCAATGTTTGGTAAATATAATTTAATAAAAATAACTTACCTGATTCGGTTAGCACAAAGATGTCTTTAATTTTTTATTTTTCCTGTTGGAAAATATTAATATGAAGATACAAAAAACTTAAACTATAACACAAATAATAATGGAAAAAACTCGAGTCGAGCCAGTCGAATGGTGTGACGTCACAGATACCCTTACGAACTTCATGACCCGTTTAAAATATTTTAATAATAAAAATAGAAAAACTCGTTATAAATCAAATATTATCGCATGATCCCATAAATTTAATTGCACCAAGTTTTAAGGTAATACTTTTTTGGAGAAGATATAATTTAAATTTTATTTAAAAAACAACTTTGTGCCCTATATCTCAAAAAGGCAATAGATCCCCGGTTCATGGAAAATAACAAATTTTTTTATGCTGTGTTAGCCTTTGAATTTATGACGACTTTTTCAAAACACCTAGTTTATTGAAAGAAACTTAATATTTTTGAACTTAACTACATTAAAGCAAATAATCTCTCAATTTTTACACGTTGCATTTTGATTTTTTATTTTATAGGAAACAGCAACCTAAGAAAATATTTATAGGTGCGACTCTGGCGGATATTAGAGAATTTCGAAGTTCAGTTCTTAGACATACTGACCTAAATATCCTTTTTCGAAGCTTTATTTATGCGATTTTCTAATGCTAACGCACCCTAACGGATGAGAACCATATTGTAGTACCTAAACAAATAATGTCAATTAATACTCTATACTAACATAAAATATATTTTTTGTGATCTATGATTTAGGATTTTCACGTGGTAAATATGTTGTTTGAAAGAGGTAACCTCATTGAGAAAGTTCCAGTCGCACACCCTATATGAGTATGTAACCTGCCTACCACCTACACCTTCGTCCATAATTAGATTCTAACTTCTGACGTAACGTGTAGTTCAAGTAATTAACCCAGTAGACACTCGAGTAATTAGCAGGTGAATCGCTTTAGTATAATTGATGTTAAGGTTCTAAAAATACAGCGAAGGTAATTTTGTAAGTCATATTTCCTATCTGTTTCTTCGATGATATCGAGGTACATACATAGCAACTACAAAAGTTTCTCGCTACTAATAGGTATTTGAAGAGAGTTGATAATAAATTTTTTCTTTCTATATGGCTTTCCACTAGGTATTTATTAAAATTATTCAAGATTAAAAACATTACAACAATCAAAGAATAATCTAATAGAATTACTGATAAATAATAACTTGTACATTTCCAATTTGCTAAGTGATAAGCAGAGCGCGGACAATTCAGTATCATTTATCTAGGGGACAATTAGTGTCTTTAACCTTGAACATAGATATGTCATTCTTAAACATAGATACATTATCCATGACGCAGTGGCGTGTGGGGTTGCATTGGGAATTTACGTGATACTTCACGAAAATTCCACGGTACATATTTTTTTAAGACTTTATAAAATATTTAGAAAATCAGGAATTGTATAACTACATATGTATTAAATAAAGTTCAGTTAAAAATAGTGTCGTTTTTTTAATTGGAAATTAGGAGTTAATGTAACGAATACCCTCAGGCGACGCACATGATATAGAATAGTCCAATCCACGCTCCATTCTTAACAGGGCTGCAGTTTGAATTCTGACCAATAGGAATTCGATAAACGCAACCGATGTCGACGGATGGACTAGAGATGGGCGCGAGTGTCATTTCATTTCTTTAGAACTAAATTAACTTAATTATTTTCTCGATGTTTTACCAGTTCACATGATTTACCGATTTTAAATAAAGGATAGAAATCTTCGCGAGGATAATAGGATATATTTGTTATACACAATAATTATATTTTGCATAGTTTACACACAATACATTTTTGAACGCGTACGCATCTTTAAGACACATTGTCCGCTCTCTAGTTCATTCAATAACCCCAAAAAATACGAGACTACCTGCACTACTTGTAATCTGGGAGATACGTTTTATCGATTTAGCTGCGAACGTGGTAATGATAAACACTAACCTACACTAAGCTCAATGCCAACTTGTTCGCATTATTTGTATAAAATATAATTGCGCAATGATAGAAACTTATTGTTTTAGCGACTTTGACATTTAGATTTCGCTTTATAAAGTTCATTTCTCATTACTCATTATTATGAAAACACCCATGTGATGTGTGGCTCACCGTAATGCAGTGTTGCCAGATGTGGCGATTTATCGCCAATATGGCTACTTTGCAACAGAGAAAGAGAAAAATAATCATCTGGCGACTGGCGACATATTATGGCTACTTGTCACTCATTCTGGGCGACTTATTGGCTACAAAATTGTAACCACGGACCTATAAATACATAATACTTTTCTTCTTATAAGATTATAACCATTCTGTAAATGGTCATTGTCATTAGTCATTGTACCCATAATTCTCGTTTTATCATTGAAGGCTAAGGATTAACGTTTATATGTTTTGTGGCCAAGGCTGTCCTAACAATTACCAAAATAGTAAATTATTATTTTTTTCAAATATTTAAATAATAAGAAAAATGATCACGACTCCAGGCATCATTGAATAATTGTGTATAGCTTTTTGGTGATATGCTTTTTACAATGGGCAAGGTGCAAGATAAATCGTGTAACCCGGTATACTGTAACACAGATCGTATCAAATTTAATATAATTTTGAATTCAAATGAATGTCGCGAACTACATAAAGTACAATTTAAAAATTTGAAATATTGCCGCCAAAATGCTAATGTGATTCTAATCAAATTCTGATTTGTTTAAATTAGCGATTTAATTGCCTCGTTACTTGATTTCTTATAACTATGAATTAAAGCAACCCTTGTTTTATTATTATTTTCAAAAGTTGGCGACATATGGCGACTTTGTTTCTCTATTTTGGCTACTTGATAAAGCTAATATCTGGCAACACTGCCGTAATGTACCAGTGTCAGTTAAAAGTAAAAGTGACGATGTGAATGTATGGTATAATCAAGCGAGCTTGGAATTTAGCGATGTATATTGTTTCGTACTTAGCAGGTGAGCGTGCTTGCATAGAAGCTTCACTTACTTTTATTATATGAATCCTTGTATTTATATAATTTGAACTTGTTCGCTGAAATAATTATGTATATATCGTTTGGAGGGAAATGAACAAACTCATGACATAACCTCAAAATATTCATAGGACTCGCAGGAGCATTGTCCTATTTGAAACATTTTCGTGATCGCTGTAACTGCCACCCTCGAGAGAACAGGCACTCTAAAATTAAACTAACTGACGGATTCAAAGAAATCATAAATTTAAATATAGAATTCCCATAAATATTATTCAGCAAAGCAAGAATTACTTTCAGTGACCTCTAACAAAACCGAGTCGACTGTTTTAATAATTAGA